CTAAAACACAAGATAAAGACAAGAGTCAAGAGTATAGAAATATGTATTGTGTGTTTATGTGTATGTATATATTACAACATATAATACATTATTATATAATTCCCATCAACATAGTCAGTACAGTCAGTACACCAGGACTGTATAATATGGTGCTTTCAAAAATTGTCTGTCCCCTTAAACTGTTACAGCTCATCATCTCGATCCACGAAGAAATGAAGGCCACCATTCAGTTTTACTGTTCAACATCAAACAGCTTCAACATCAATAGCGGAGTAAAGCAGGGTTGTGTCATAGCACCAACCTTTTTAGCACTTATTTTGCTGTCTTAAGGATGAAAAAAACAGCAACAACGTTTGGAAGGCGGACAAAACGAGCATGGAAAAGCTCCATTAACCATCAAAACAAAGATCAAGATTTACGAAGCATGAGTCCTCAGCACACTCCTTTATGGATCTGAAACATGGACCTTGTACAGCAGGCAAGAAAAGCGCCTCAACATTTTCCATCTCAGAAGCTGAAGCAAGATCTTAGGCATTTCGTGGCGTGACAAGGTAACAAATGTTGAAGTGTTGGCACTGGCAAACCTCCACAGCATGAAAACTATCATTTGTTTAAAAAGATTGAGATGGCTGGGCCATGTCAAAAGAATGGACGGCAGCCGGATTCCGAAGCAACTTCTCTATGGAGAACTTTCCCACGGAAAGAGACCAAGAGGAAGACCAAAATTGAGGTACAAAGGCACATGCAAAAACACCGTATCTAAACTCGGAGTAGATGTTATAATCTGGGAAGAAATAGCTGAGGACAGGAAATAATGGAGGAACATGATAAAGGAAAGAACTTTAATGCTAAAGAGCAGGCTGAGAAGCGCAACGACGAAAGGAAAACAGCGGAAATATAGAGCTTCGACCCACGTCACAGATATTCAAGCATTGCAACAGAATCTGCGATTCAAACATAGAAAGAATTTTCCATGTGCATGAAGACAACTTTGAGACCATCTTAAGCATTTCTTGGAACGGTCAACATCTACACACTTCGAGATGTGCTTCTTCAGGGGACGGAGCGCTTACAGGGATGTCCCTTGTGCAGTTATGTCGGTCCTTCAAACAAGTAACAAGTAACAAGTAACATCTTAAGCTAAATTGACCGTCTGTATAGACTAAAAGAGCCATACTATACTAGAAATATATATACATATTATATTATACAGTGGCGTCCAAAAGAAACTTGAAAATGTAATCACCCAATTATCGTGTTACCTACTCATTCACTTTACCAATTTAAAGCTAAATGAATTCTGCATCTATGTTAAGAGATGTCAAAGATATGGTTTCTCAAAATTGACATAAAACATCAGACTTGGCAAGACTGAGCAAAAGCAAATAAACGTAAAATTGTCTTCGCGTATGTATTGAGAAGCACCAATATTGATAAAATGAAAATACAAGACATAAATGGAGAATTTGGTATTGCAATAAGCAATATTCTGGGGTTTTTTGGTCACGATAGTTTCAAAACTAAGCTATCCATCCACTGATTCTCATGAGGGTGGTTTTGTCATGTTCATTCCACCCCAGACCACCCAAAACCATGACAGCTTCGTGGCCTCTGTTCCTCACTGCCAGATGGATATGTCCAAAATCTAACTAACACAGTCCATGTGAAAAAAAAGGCTTTCTGCTCAGCACGAAACAATTAGCAAGGGAACAAAAACAAAATTAATACTAATGAGTACATTACGTTATTTTTCTTTTTTTCTCTCCCTTGCCCTTCATATGAGATTGACGCTATCTGATTAGTACAAACAAGTGCGTATGATTGTGTCCAATTGTGTATTACGTGCTTACTTAGTATAACAAGTAACTGTTGCAGCAGATAGAGATTCCAGGATTATAGATGTAAGTCACTGATCTGAGAGCGGTGATGATTTTGGAAATAATGGCGGTGATGAGTGATGATGTGGGATTGCGTTTAACTAATGTTGGCGTTAGTCATATCTTCCTCTCCTCCAATGAGTCACGAGAGGTGTGTTAGTGTTAGCCTATTCTATCGGGCCAAGACAAGTGTGTAGGGTAGCTAAGTGGAAAGACAGTACAGTGGCAGGTATGTTGGGGTATTTGTAACCGGGTTGTAGGGAACAAGTAGGTAAACAGATTATGATCTTTAAAAATGCACCATTCTACTCCCTGATCATTTGCCCCGAGTATTCTTTTCGAGTCCTATTAAATTTGCGGAGATTCTTACTCAGGGTCCTCGAACCCGAGTCGAGAGGGCACAATTTACACATAGTATTGTATCCCCTCGCCACAGGGGGAACGACCTGAATCCCCACGGTCTCCTGTCCAATATTGGTATAATTCCAAAGCTAACGTTTGGAAGCAATACCTACATTTAGCAAGTCAATATTGTGCAAATGCTGGCCCGATGTGTTTCGATGTATAGAAATGACTAGAGTGAAAGCGGGAGAGAGAGAGAGAGAGAGAGAGAGAGAGAGAGAGAGAGAGAGAGAGAGAGAGAGAGAGAGAGAGAGAGAGAGTGAGAGAGAGTGAGAGAAAGATTGAGGGTGAGGGAGAGAAGGGAGGAGGGAGGCGAGAAAATGAGCACATTTTAAGTTAGGTCAAGGTTTTGTATATTATTTGTAACTGCTCTGGTCTCAGATCTTTTTGAAAATATCACCAGAAGATGCTGCGCACTGCAGAGACAATACTATTATTCTCTTTTCGTTTGGTATTCAATTTTGAATTTCACAATTTACGTCAAGCTTTTCCGAATGCAATAATTTGAATATCTTGATTACAACTCGGAACAATCCTACGGTTTTGATGCAGTTGATACAGCATTTGATTTCTGATCTCATTGTCTTAGTAAATCAAAACAGTCAAAAATGTCAGAAAGAATTTTGAAACTCTGAGGTAGCAACTTAAGAGAGGGAGTGGGGGAAGACCAGGACTTGAGGTCATTAATATAGATAATATGACGATATAGGCTCACCAGAGCCTTTCTTCCTATACTGTTTTTCCCCTTCTCTTTTGTCCTCTGAGTACACTGACAGCGTACGTCAATCGTCATGACAAGGATATGGTTCAATATATAGTTTGGGGGCAAAGGCCTGGAGATCACTGACTTGTTGGCCCATTTTAAAACACTCTTTGACGTCATTTGAAACAAGAAGGAATCTTGAAGGTTTCGAACAGTAGGTAGAGATAAGTATCGTATTTTAACCTAACTTTTTAAAATTTTAAAAAGAATAATAGTTGTAAGCTCCCTCAGGTAAAATCCTTCTCCTCCCCTTCTCCAAACAAGAGGATTTCAAGAAAATGACCCCCCCCCCCCCTGCAATAAATAAATAATTACATAAATACATAAATAAATTAATAAAAAAAAACAAATGAACATATAACTAAAAAATTAATGATAATAATAGTAATAATAATAATAATAATAACAATGATAAGAATAGAAATGAAAATAATGAAAATAATAATATTGATAATAATGATTTTAGTAATATTGATAAGGATAATAATAATAATAATAATAATACTAATAAAAATAATAATAATAATAATAATAATGATTATTATAATTATAATAATAATACCAAAAATGATAATACTATTAACGAAAATAATAATAAATTTAATCATAATCATAATAATAACAAAAACAATAATAATAATAGTAATAATAATAATAATAATAATAATAATAACAATAATAATAATAATAATAATAATAATAATAATCATCATCATCATCATTATGTTGAATGCAATGATAATAATGATAGTAATAGAATAAAGCAAAATAAATCATTTAGCAATCCAGTTTATTAAACAAATGATGTCAAGACACAAACGTACAAACAGAACACAAGGACAAAAGGTCCTCCCAATTTAATTATCTGAAATTTTATTCAATTAATAAATGACGCAGTGATCTAATGACAGATGACGTTACATCCTCGTCAGCGGAGGTAACGAAATATTATCAATTAGTGTATCTGATACAAATTTTCATCGTCTCGGTTGGGGATTTATTATCGGGATAATATGCAGGAACATTATTTGCGTCTGAATTGATCTGATCTTGGCCCCTGTTCGTCCCAAGGAAAGGTGCGTGATTTCCGTCCTGATTTTAATATTATGCGCCTTGAAATTTCACCTTAATCTCGGGAGGAGGGGGGGGGGGAGGTGGTATTCAGAGACGGTGATTTCAAGACGGGACATACCCATGCCCTTTGCGAGAGCATAATGTTTGAAAGTGCGATACGACTTCAAAATCCAATTTACTCACTAGACGCAGAAATTTTATCCTTTGTATTTGTTTTTTGTTGTTGTTGTTGTTGTTTTTTTGTAAGTATGTGTTTTACGGCGCTCGCAACTGCATAAAGTCGTACGAGCGTGTAGGGCATATTAAAAACATTTTTCAGTTAGCAGGAAATTTTGAATTTTGTACAGGTGGCGGCAGCCGCCTACTCTTATCGATTTTGGACCACCAAGGGTACTTTAACATGGGCAGCTTACACACGGGGCCTCCGAGATTGTTCGCCCTTGTCCGAGAGGTCTAGGTGTAGATCTTTCCTACCAGAAGATCAGGGGCGTGGCTGAAAGACAGCAATAAGAAGGAGGTAAAGGGTAGCAGAAGAAAGGCTGCAGAAAGAATCAGGAGCTCAGAGGAGGGGGCATAGAAGGTGATGGGGTGAAGGCAGAAAGTGGAAAAGAAAGCAAGAAGAAGAAAAATTTCCGTTTTTTGTCTGCATTCGAACCCTGGACTTATTGAAGGAGAGGCGAATACCTTAACCCCTAGGCCACGAGGCCCCCATCCTTAGTTTACAGGTACAATGACAATCAACACAAGTATCCATATGACCATTATTGAATCTTTATCACGACACGGTGGAATCAGGCGCTCATCAATTTTTGGTCACAAGGAATAAATGGTATCATGATTAGGCTTGTTCATTTGATTAAAAAATGTACCCCTCAGTGTTGAAT